TATATATATAGATATATATATATATATATATATATATATATATATATATATATATATATATATAGCGGGAGTAATAATTCAATGGGCCAGTTAGTCTTTGTGAAGGTATGGGATATGGCACAACGGGAGCGTTGTCAACAAGGATGAATATATTTATTTCCCAACAGTTTCGGGAGGGGTCCTCCCTTCATCAGGGATGAGTTTTACTGACTGATGAGTATAACTCATCCCCTGATGAAGGGAGGACCCCTCCCGAAACTGTTGGGAAAATAATATATTTATCCTTGTTGACAACGCCCCGTTGTGCCATATCCCATACCTATGTATGTATGTATAATATATATATATATATATATATATATATATATATATATATATATATATATATATATATATAATATATTGCAATAAGGGAAAGAAGTGTATACCTAAGGGCTCGTTTTTCCGTGTTTTAACACAATAATAATGAGATCTATATAGACAGTAATGCCAAGGAATGTACAGGGGAAGCTGTTAGAACCAATAGAATGTAAATAAGAACAAAGAAAATTGGATGAAAAAATAACCAGCCGTGAGCAGGAATCGAACTTGCGACCTTCCAATGACGCGTTCGATGCTCTAACACTGAGCTACCACAGCGGCCTTCCCTCTATCCACTATTTTGGGGTTTATATGTGAATTTAGAAGTAGGAGTGACAGTCAGCGCCATTTATAAGCCAAGCGACGAGTGTAAAAACACTCTTTTATGCGCATGTTTGGCGTAACGTAGCACGTGAACTTATTATGAGCGGGCAGCTGATTAATAGTCCCTCGTATACAACCTAATGACACGAAGTCTGCAAGTACGAGACCCTCGTTTAATGAAATAAGGAAAAGAAGTGTATACCTAAGGGCTAGTTTTTCCGTGTTTTAACACAATATTAATGAGATCTAACAGACAGTAATGCCAAGGAATGTACAGGGGAAGTTACTATATCCAATAGAATGTAAATAAGAAGAAAGAAAAGTGGATGAAAAAGTAACGGCCGTGAGCAGGAATCGAACCTACGACCTTCGAATAACGCGTTCGATGCTCTAACCACTGAGCTATCACAGCGGCCTTCCCTCCATCCACTTTTTGGGTTCTATTGGTTCTAATAACTTCTCTGTACATTTCTTGGCATTACTGTCTGTTAGATCTCACTATATATATATATATATATATATATATATATATATATATATATATATATATATATATATATATATATATATATATATATATTATATATATATAACCCTGCGTGCACATCTCACTTTGCTTATTATTGGCACACCACCCAGAGAAAGCTGCTCCTGCTAATCACCACCCCCTCATGCCACATCCTTGTACCTTGTATAGCGCCTGGAGTCGACCACAACGTCGAGGTGTATAAGAAGCAACTGCCAGACAAGATTCTTTTTTTCCACTCGTACCCGCCGAAGCCAACCGTGGTGTTGTAGCGGTTCCGGCGATCGGCTGTTGGCCCGAAGGCCGTGTGTTACATCCCGGTCGGGACGGTTGCATTTCGAGACCGGCGAAATAGTAGACGCCTCGCGGGTTCTATCTCCACCGGCACGGTTGCATTTCCATGTAGGTGACACGCTAGACATCCGTGTACTGTGCGATAGTAGTGCACATCAAAGAATACCAGATAGTCGAAATTTCCGTAGCCTTCCGCTACCACACCCCTCGTAATCATATCGCCGTTTCGGGATGCTAAACGCATTATTATTATTATTATTATTATTATTATTATTATTATTATTATTATTATTATTATTATTATTATTCCTGTGATATGTGTATCTGAATGAAACCACGCCAAAAGTCGTGGAATTGTAAGTTCTTGCCCTACTCAGAGTGCGGGTTTGACTCCCGAACGAAATGCTTTGACGTGCACTTAAATCTGAGCACACAGGAACACCCGTGTGCTTAGATTGAACCCTCATGTATGCTCAGGTTCACCCCGCATGTGTGCTCAGGTTATCCCCTCAGGTGGGAACGTCGCTACCATCACCATCGGACTCCCTACTTGGTTTTTGCTGCACGTTAGAAGACGCCGGACGATCAAACCTATTCCAAAGTCCACTACGGTGTAACCCGTAATTTTGCCGTGTTTTGATGAGTAGAATTTCAGAATATAATTAATCTTGATACATTACGTGTATAAATGTATCGATGCGGTCCGAGTTTGCAGAAGCGAAGTGCTGTTAGATATGTGCAACTTACGTTAAATTCCCTAGAATAAAAGATCACCGCGCCGATAACCCTGTACAGGTGATTTTCAGGAAGCCCAGCCGTCGTCTTGACGTCGTATGATGTTCGATGCCTGTGCGTCGGTTCTTTCCGTCTTTCCCATCTTTCGTGCAATGCGGACTCGCAAAACGTGCGAATTTTAGTAATGATTTCAAAAGGAAAATAATGCGGCAAATGGTTATGCGCAGGCGCTAGATGCTGGCGCCGTTCGACGTGCAAATCGAAATGAACCACAGTGGCGCGTTTCTTGTAACCGAATCGCACGTGCGAACTAAAACTTTGTTCTTGGCCCAGCCTCTATAGGTCGCGGTCCCATATCTGCATAGTATATGTGGTTGGCAAGAAGTTAACGCTCTCCTGGAAAGAAAACAGTGGAAAGCATCAAGAGCAGCAAAGGAAAGGTTCTTTTTGTTTACTCAGCGACGTTACTCGTACGTTATTTGTATTATTGCATGAGAGATAGATAGATAGATAGATAGATAGATAGATAGATAGATAGATAGATAGATAGATAGATAGATAGATAGATAGATAGATAGATAGATAGATAGATAGATAGATAGATAGATAGATAGATAGATAGATAGTAGATAGATAGATAGATAGATAGATAGATAGATAGATAGATAGATATAACGAAAAGCAGGGTCATCGCATGCGATGGAGAGAACTTGTATCAACACCATACACATGGTTTCATGTGAAATATTTATGAATTCAACGAAAGCTTTCGTACATGCGTCATTTTTTCAGCGAGGATGCCTCGCCATAACTTGATTTTCTGAGTATTCGCACACAATTTTTTTCGTGAAGTAATTTTCAACGGTGTGAAACTTTTCATGCATAGAATGCTTGAACTGCGCGTTGCGCCAGGGTTTACAGGTACTCAACAGTGTTTGCTCGAGCCTATCAGGTGATACCTAACAGAAAAATCAGCTCTAGCTAATCACCCCCCCCCCCAGTGCCACTTCTGTGTGTAGCACCTTGCGTCAGCCACTAAATAATTAGCGAGGTATATAATTAGCTATTGGTATATAATTAGCAAATGTAAGGCAAAGTTTTTCTTCCTCTCGTACCTGCCCAAGTCCGCCGTGGTGGTGCGGTCATGGAGCTCGGCTGCTGACCTAAAGGTCGCGGGTTCGCTCTCCACTGGGGCGGCCACTCTTCCACGGAGGTGAAATGCTAGGCGCCTGTGCAATCTGCAATGTTAGTCCACAATAAAGAACGCCAGATTATCGAAGTGTCCAGAGTCTGCGCCTACGACGTCCCTTATAATTATATCCAGGTTTTTGGATGTTAACCCCCCCCCCCCCCCTCCGAGAAATATTGTTATTATGCCTGCCTAGGACTCGTGTACTGGAGCGAAACCACGCCAACTACCGTAGCTTAGCATGTAATGGGTTGCGCTGCTAGGCTTTAGGGCGCGGCTTAGAATTCTGGCCACGGCGACCACACTTCGGCAAGGCTGCTTTTAAGGTTGCTGCTGAAAGGGATCCTTACTTTTAGCAGCGTTTCTTTTTTTTTATTTTCGCTCTTGTTTTTCTCACTACTATATATACTCTCACCCACTTCTTTCTGTAACTAATCCTGGCCCTGAAAGTACAGTAATAAATAAATAAATAAATAAATAAATAAATAAATAAATAATAATAAATAAATAAAACGCCCTAGGTAGTACCCCACGGTGGCTCAGTGGTTAATGCCTCGCTCCCACGTTCGATTCCGCGCGCCAAAGTCTTTTTTTCTGATTTTTTTTTTCTTTCTTGCGTTTTCATGTATACAGATACGTACATATACGGTGTATGACATTGACGCCGACGTCCACGCCGACGCCGGCGGCAAAATCCAGCCGAGTGTCCATATATTTGCTATTACAATAATAAATAAATAAATTGAATAAATAAATAAATAAATTCGGCAGATCCCACGTACTTGGGAATCGACGTTATGCGAAGCATGCGGAGGGAAAGTGACCGTGTTGCTATTTTTTTATTGTGTGACACGTCATGAAGTGACGCTAAATATATGTGTACAAATTGTACAAATTTTGCACGCACAGACAGATATTGAAAAATTACAGATTTTTATATAACCAGTTGTTTGCACTTGCGCAACGATGCTAACTTAGCAACACCAGAAGCTAATATGAAGCGCTGACGCTGGCTAGGATGCTGGCCCTGAACACTGCCACATAAATAAACTACAGCGCATGTCAACTAACCACAATTGATGTTAAGCCGACGGGACGGATGCTTGGGTTCGATTCCCGCTGGGACCCTGACACAATTATTCTTTGCATTCGTCAGGTTGACGCTGCCGATTTTGGTTATGTCTTAACGCTTGCCCGTTAAAATTGCCTATGTGTGTTCTCGTCGTTCCTGGGTATATACTAAGTGTCAATCACCTGTGGCACATACCCGCATACCAGCGGCACATACCCGCCCGTGGGTATGTGCCACTGTCTGGCGGGACGTCTTTGACGACGTACGTGACGCGATTGTGACATTATTGAAGTCTTGAGCAGCGCATCATATTCGTCAAACCATCTTGCCCTCCCATACTAATTTTGGTTCACTCCAACTTGAGAGGGTGACCACGAGAGCACCCAAACGTAAGCGGCTAGGTAAATATATAGATAGATACGCTCAAAGTCGCCGAAGTTCGCTAAGAAATGCTTCGCATTTAATAAATAAATAAACGAATGTACCCTTTGTTTTCGCAGTCGTCGGCGTACTCCGTGAAGTTCGCGCCGGACGAGTTCTTCAAGGATGCCGTGGTGGGCATCTTCGACCAGATGGAGAGCAAGCTGCTCGTGAGCAAGTCCATGAGGGAGCTGCTGTTCGAGGGCTACGAGGACGGCATCTTGAAGTTCGCCAAGAGCATGGACTTTCCGGTGCCCAGCGAACGCTTCGGATGGCTGCACGGGGTGAGTGGCCATCAGTCGGCAGCATGGGTCGGCGAGCTCATTCGTCAGTCGACTCACTGGGTCTCACGCAGACTCTAATAGAGCCGCGAGTCTGAGTGAGTCCTGCTCAGGAAACTTGTGGGAGTCTTGAGTACGAGTGAGTCCAAAGTGCATGATATATTTTTGCAGCGAGTATGGTCGAGTCGCACTTCTTATTTTTTCTCGACCTGTTCTACTCATATTCAGCATCAATATAAGCCCTACCTGGATGCGTGTTTATTCTCACGCCTACTCACACGCATTCCAAAACAGCATTTTGAATTTTGATATTTATCGATCACAGGCATGAATAACGTGGGGAGTGCCTGAAGGAAGTGCCGAGTGGGGCAGCTTTTTTTTTTTTAAGGGCGATGCTCCTAAAGCCGTGATGTTCATGCATGTGTTCATGCATAGTCTGTGACAGGTTTGTAGCACCTAGTTGTATGACTCACTCAGCAGGTGGCGCTAGTGTGACAGACAGACGGACGCACAGAGGCATGGACAGACTGATGGACGCATAGGCGGACGCATGGACAGACGGAAGTATGGACGGCCAGACAGACGGACGGATTGACGGAAGCACGGACGGATGGATGGACAGACTGACGGATTTAGGGAAGCATGCGCGCACAGACAGACGGACAGACGGATGAATGGACGGGTGAACTTACGGACGCACGGACGATTGGACATACGGACGGACGCTTCGCCCCACTTATCATCATTCACTCCGTGGATATACTGTGATTTTTTTTGTTTCTTTTTGGTTTTCCCTACCTCTCCTCTTCTTTTTATGCCCTTTTCCCGCATTCTTCCGTCTATTTTCCCTCTTTATTTTTTCTTCCCCTATCTTTACCTATTTTCTTAATCTTGCTTACTCTCCCCATTTTTCATGGTATTTTGTGCGTTTCTTTCTTTATGCAGTGTCTTCCTTCCATAATTGCTTCCTCTATTTTCGTCGTCGTTTTGCCTTCCCTACACCAAGCGACAACCGAGCATACGACAGCCGGAGGCCCTTGAGTGCTCCGCACTTAGGCCACGTTCACACTGAGCATTCCGGCCGCCGAAAGTGCTCCGAATCCGGTTCGGCGGCGGCGAGATCCGCCGAAAGGGCCCTCTCCGCGCCTATCGCTCTCGGACCGATTTTTGCGGCGTCTGCCGCCGAATCGGTCACCGCGGACCAATAGGAGCGCTAGTCAAAGAATTTTGAAAAATGGCGTCTCTACTCACTTGTTATGCCGCAGTGCACGTAACTGAATGTTGAAACCAACGGGAGTTTAACCTTCTCTGTGCCTACTTCGCCTCCGTATTTCGTGAAAAAGGTGACCGAGCTTGCTGTTGGCGTGACCGAGCTTGTTGCGGTGTTGCAGAGCAAAACGAACCCACCAACGCCGCTGGCGTCGGTGGTTTTTCTGCTCTCGTGCATTACAAGGCAGCCACTTGCCAGCAAAGTAAGCAGTACTGTCTTTTCTTGCTTCTTGCGTACGAGAATCGTCAAGTATACACCAACGGATAGCGTAGTTGGCGTTTGCGAGCCGCGACAACAACCGGGTGACAGCGCATCCATCCCGCGTTTGCCCCGTGGTAGATGGCATATTCGGCGGCGCGGGGCGCATCCAGTGCGAACAACGCTGCGTTTCGGCGGCAGGGGAATTCCGGTCACTGTAGAAAGCGGATGTTTCAGTGTGAACTAGGCCTTATCACCACCACAATGTCGAAGAGGTAGAATACTTCTCCTTGGCACGAAACGCGGGCTCCATATGCTTTACAAATGGCTGTGCTACATGGTGGTTCTGCCTGCGTTATGCCAAGCTACGACAGCATACGATGACAGCATACGACATCTAACAACCCGTGCTCCCTAAGGGGCTCCGCACTTTATCGCCCTAACATAGAGCCCTTTAGTGTTTCTCGCGCACACATACGACGCACACTTAAGATGTGGTGGAGGTGGAGGGTCAGAGGACGAATGAGATGCCTAATTTTTGCAGCCCTTAAGGGAACACGGCGCAGCGTCTATACGGGGGTTGTCTGTGTAGCGTTTGCTCGCTGGTCTCGAGCTCAGTGTACGTCCCTTCCGGAAGTTCTTCGTTGGAGCCAGGCTTGCCATTTACCTTTCCCGTGACGCGGCCGCAACATTTATTGCACACCTGTTATCATTCGCTCCCGCCCACGTCCTGCCCACGCAGGCACGGCACGACGTGAGAAACACCGCCCGAGAACGACTACTGGGCCGCCGGCGGTGCCGCCTATTCTTGATACAAATGCACGGCCGTATTCAGACCCGCTTCTGGAATCGCTCTGTGGTCTAAGTACTGGCACCAGCCGATGGCGCAGCTTTGAAAAATAGTTCGTCGACCTTCCCGTTGTATCTCTCGTGGAATACCGAGGGGGGGGGGGGGGAGAACGCTTTTCCTACTACCAGGTGGTTTCCGAAGGAAAATAGCGCACAAAAACCGTAGGCAAGAAAGGAGGGGAAATCACACTGTCACACCGGTCCCGTTAATTAGGGAGGCGATCGCCGGGCTAATTCCAAGGGCCGAAGTATGGGCCCCCCGAACCGCACCACGAAAGCGTGGACAATTTAGAAGTGGTCCTTTTTGGCGCGCCAGCGGACGCCGGCTGTGGCCCAAAGAACAAGTCAGAGCCGAGAGTTGATAAACAAAACAAATATTATATTCCCAAAAATGGCAGATCGAAAACAATACACAAGAATGCACACTCCACAATAGTTACATACAATACGTCACCAATCAAACAACGTACTACACAGTACAATCAGCCACACTCAAAACAACGGACACAGACAACGATACGCACTACAATGCAGTCGCATGCATTGAACAACCAAGACACTTAAAGACTAAAGAGATAGAAAACCTATCCAGTCCAAAGTTCTTGGAACATAAGTCTGGATAATACTCTTCCGAGAATCACTCACTCAAAGTCCAGCGTTGTTGTCGTTCCGCGCCCTCGAAGTTTCTCTTCCAGGAAATCTCGCGTCTTCAATTGGCCACTCTCCAAGCTTCAGACTTCTTCGCCCGAACACGTCGGCTTCACACACGCAGCTGTCGCCACGCGTCTTCGCTCGATAGCGGTAAACACACACTCTTGCCTGTAGCTCGAGTCGTCACCCCTCAGGTGGAAATCCTCTTCATCTCCTGCTTTGTCGCTACGGACAAAACCTTCGCCGACTACACGGCGGAATCCCAACGTGCTCTGGCGCTAACTTCCGTCTTCCCCTGCTCTCTCGTCTCGGCTGCTCGATTAAATACCTTCCGCGCGAAATTCCAGAAGGTTCTCGTCATTTCGTCGGCGCGATACGCAGCGAAGGCTGGGCTGGCGCTAACTTCCGTCTTCCCCTGCTCTCTCGTCTCGGCTGCTCGATTAAATACCTTCCGCGCGAAATTCCAGAAGGTTCTCGTCATTTCGTCGGCGCGATACGCAGCGAAGGCTGGGAAGAGGGCGAGACGGTTGGAATGCCCTCCGCGGCCGATGACTCAACTCGGTATGAACACGCCCCTTTCCATCTAGAAAAATCCAGTGCTTGCTCGGCCGCCGTTGTGGGGTGAGGAGGTTCGTCGGCGAAGCCACGCTTCCGCGGGGAGAGCGCGCGCCCGGGGAGCCTTGGATGTTTGTTTTCTTTTTTTTCTTTAGACCTCCCGGCGTCTCTCCCGCGCGTTTTCGCAAGAATTTGGCGGCGCGCCCATTTTTAGCGCTCGTTCTGTGACACTGCCCCCCACTTTCAGAATATTATCTCATAATATTCAAAACCACACAAACGAACGCGAACAGTCACCACACACTCTGAAAGACTGTAACACAAACCGTCGCTCATGATACTTCACACTCGGAATAGATCCTCAATACAACTGTACATTGTAATTCAATTCCACGACACATGAAATATAGCCACAGGTACATGAATGCAACACTCCATCTCATATTCCAAACAATACAAACGTACAAAGTTCTGTCTTTACAACAATTATACAACACTATACATCACATCATCGCAGAGAGCACTTTGACTCGCTCGACATACACTTGTGACACAGGATAACAAGAACATTAACGCAACATATGGCACTCAGCACTGCCAACCACATTCTGATTCGACTTAAGCACTTATCCTGTGTACTTTGAGCGGCGCTTGCGCCCTTTCTTGCGGTGCTCGCTCGATCTCTTCTTGTGTTTCCACGTTCCTTTTCGGCGAGCCCTTTCCAACGACGATATCTGAGGCGGCGTCTCAGCCATCGTTGTCACTTCCGACACCGTTAACGGGTCTTAACGTTCAACGGGTCCTGTCTGTTAATTTACCAGCTTGTTCATGTCACGGCATTGGGCTTGGCTCGCCAACTCCGTCCCCATTACACTGTCGGTCGGTTGGGGTCGTGCCGACGTACGTCCAGCTGCCCAGCGCGTGAACTCATTCAACACGGTCATCTTCTCATTCACGGTCTCTTGTACCGCGGCTTCACCTTGGGCTCTAGTGAGATCCGTCACGGGATGCTCCTCCACTGTATCTCGCGGCCGCTGTGTTGGCGAGGGCTCTATCTTCGGGTCTTCTCCCAAACATTCTGGATCACTTGGCCCTCGCGCCCCGTCGATGTTTCCGATGACAAGGTCATACAGGGGGGTCGTCATGCATAAAGCCGTAACCTTCCCGCTGAAGTACGGGGTTTCAACCTCAATTTCTGCTTCAGGAAGCATCCGAACCGTACGATCAATTAGGCAAATTGGTTTCGTTTTGCCTGTTAACTCACTTTCCCGTACCAAATTTTTCCGCACGATAACAGTGGAGCTGCCGGTATCTTTTAACACCGTAATCTTTTTGTCCGCAACTTTTCCAGGCAGCGTTGGCATTCCCTTCGTAACACCGGTCGGCTGTTTTGCCATTACAGCACCCACAACAGGAATTTTCTCCCCATTTTTCAACTCTACGAATCCATCGGTGACGGCATTATTACCGGATTTCGGTG